TATAATTAAAATGGTAAACTGTCATTAATAACCTGCGCTCAGTAACCTTGTAAGTTTGCATGCTTTTTACTTATTTATAGTTTACTTTCGAGGCAAGACTCTATTTCGTTGTTCTCGCTCTTATAATATAATAGGCGAATTTTCCACTATAATAATTACCGTACGATAAAGGCGATAAAATATTTCTCCAATAACATTAATTATTCTTAGTAATTCTTCAATGATATGATAAATGCATTATCTCTACGAATATCGCTCTAATAATGTTATTATTCTTTATTCTCTTATTATAATTATTATGTACGGTGAATGTTGTATGCTAACAACTACTAATTAGTTTAGAATTACACAATTTAGAGAATAGATAATCATTTTATCGTCATGCTTTATTGCTACTTTTATAGTTCCTAATATCGCTGTTGTCTACATCATATTGCGGTAAATTACATCATGTTAATATACAGTATGGTATTGTAGTATATTTAGATTGTACTGTAACTCTAACATACAGTATTCCTAAATATAGGTAGTTAATATTGTTCTTAAATATAGAAATGTTTACAATCTTTTTTGCAGTATAGTCAAATAGTCAAATATAGATTATTGTGTTTAGTACTTACAGTTTTCGCTATTACATGAACTATTTATGTATATATATTGTATGGTATCCAATTTACAGTCTTGTTCTCTGCATGTGTTCTAGCCCTAAAGCTATAAATACTAACGATTTGTACCTCAGAAATCATTAATTGCAGTAGTTACAATGTTAATGTTTTCTCATATTATTTTACGATAACTTATACGCTGCTCTACCGTAACTACCACATTGTACACAATCGTAGTCTAAAATTCAGTATCTTTTTTCTACTAAAACACTTGTGTATTTCTCTGTATGGCAACTAAACCCTCTATCGCTGACTCATCCAACCCTCCATCAAAGGTATACAGACAATGTATATTAACTTTAAACAATACGATCGTACAAGTATCGATCATACGTAGAGCTATTTAAAGTTGTAATCTCTAACGAATATCGTATTAGTGTCTATTTTCTCAAACACATGCTTTCACTTTTGTTGTATATTGAAACATGGCAAAGGAGTCTACTGAATTGATTATTCCCAACGAAATTCAATCTACCTACGAACAAGGTGTAAAATTTCAGCAAAGTGAAAATGATGCACAAGCGCTATTCTATTACAAGAAAGCTCTTACTACAATCCAATCGATGTCTAAAACTAGTAACAATAAATATCATCAACTTGAACACGATATTTATATCGATATGACTGATTGTTACATAAATCAATACGAATTAGTAGAAGCGGCTAAATGTAATGACAACGCAGAGAAAGTTGCCAAGATACTACAAGATAAAGTCAAAGCTTCAAACTGTTTAGATAGGCGGGGATCTATTAAACGATTGCAAGGTGATTTGAGTGGAGCCTTAAATGATTTTTACAAATCACTCAAAATGAAGTTAAAATGGTTAAGAAGCGAAGAAATCTGTATCAGTGACTTATATCATAAAATTGGAAACGTTTATGATGATCAAGGCAAGTATGATGACGCTCTATCGGTGTTTAACAAATCACTCAAGACTCAACTAACACGACTTGATGAAAATCATCCAAGTATTGCTATAACATATAGCAATATTGGACAAGTCTACAAGCATCTAGACAAGTATGATGAAGCTCTGTCAATGTTTAACAAATCACTCAAGATTACACTAACAAAACTTAGCAATAATCATCCAAGTATCGCTAATACGTATAATAAAATTGGACAAGTCTATAATCGTCAAGGCAAGTATGATGACGCTCTATCAATATATAACAAGTCACTTAAGATTACACTAACACGACTTAGTGGCAATCATCTAATTATTGCTAATACATATCGCGATATTGGACAAGTCTATAATAATCAAGGCAAGTATGATGACGCTCTATCAGTTTATAACAAATCGCTTAAGATTACACTAACAAAACTTGGTGATAATCATCCAAGTATTGCTAACACATATGACAACATTGGGCAAGTCTATAATAATCAAGACAAGTATGATGACGCTCTATCAGTATATTACAAATCTCTCAAGATTAAACTAACACGACTTGGCGACAATCATCCAAGTATCGCTATAACATATAACAACATCGGAAAAGTCTATAGTGATCAAGGCAAGTATGATGAAGCTCTGTCAATGTTGAACAAATCTCTTAAGATTAAGCTAACACAACTTGGCGGCAATCATCCAAATATCACTAATACATATAACAACATTGCAAGAGCTTATAACCGTCAAGGCAAGCATGATGACGCTCTATCAACATATAACAAATCACTCAAGATTCAACTAACACAACTTGGCGACAATCATCCAAGTACTGCTGTAAAATATACAGACATTGGAGAGGTCTATAATAATCAAGGCAAGCACGATGACGGTCTATCAATATCTAAAGAATCACTTAAGATTGAACTAGTACAACTAGGTGAAAATCGTCTAAGTACTGCTAATACATATAACAATATTGAGCAAGTCTATAATCATCAAGGCAATCATAATAACGCTCTATCAATGTTGAACACATCACTTAAGATTCAACTAACGAAACTTGATGGCAATCATCCAAGTATTGCCAACACTACTAACAACATTACACTAGCCTATAATCGTCAAGGCAAGTTTGATGATGTTCTATCAGTATGTAACAAATCACTCAACATTACACTAAAACAACTATATGATTACCATCCAAGAATTACTAACGCATATAGACATGTTGGACAGCTTTATGATGATCAAGGCAAGTACGATGACGCTCTATCGGTGTATAATAAATCGCTTCAGATTGACTTAATAAAACTTGGCGATAATCATCCAAGTATTTCTAACATATATGACAAAATTGGGCAAGTTTATTGTCATCAAGGCAAGTATGATGACGCTCTATCCATGTTTAATAAATCACTCAAGACTCAACTAACACAACTTGATGAAAATCATCCAAGTATCGCTATAACATATAGCAATATTGGACAAGTCTATAATGATCAAGGCAAGTATAATAAAGCTCTATCAATGTTAAACAAATCACTCAAGATTACAATAACAAAACTTAGCAATAATCATCCAAGTATCGCTAATACATATAACAACATTGGACAAGTCTATAATAATCAAGGCAAGTATGATGACGCTCTATCAATACATAACAAATCACTTAAGATTACACTAACACGACTTAGTGGCAATCATCCAAATATTGCTAATACATATCGCGATATTGGACAAGTCTATAATAATCAAGGCAAGTATGATGACGCTCTATCAGTCTATAACAAATCGCTTAAGATTACACTAACAAAACTTGGTGATAATCATCCAAGTATTGCTAACACATATGACAATATTGGGCAAGTCTATAATAATCAAGACAAGTATGATGACGCTCTATCTGTATATTACAAATCACTCAAGATTAAACTAACACGACTTGGCGACAATCATCCAAGTATCGCTATAACATATAACAACATCGGAAAAGTCTATAGTGATCAAGGCAAGTATGATGAAGCTCTACCAATGTTGAACAAATCACTTAAGATTAGACTAGTACAGCTTGGCGACAATCATCCAAGTATTACTGATACATATAACAACATTGCAAGAGTTTATAAAAGTCAAGGCAAATATGATAACGCTCTATCAGTACATAACAAATCACTCAAGATTCAACTAACACAGCTTGGCGACAATCATCCAAGCACTGCAATAACATACAATGGTATTGGAAATGTCTATGTTAGCCTAAGCAAGCAGGATGATGCTTTATCAGTGTATAAAAAATCACTTAAGATTGAACTAGCACAACTTGGTGAAAATCATCCACATATTGCTGATGCATATAACAATATTGGGCAAATAAATATTTTTCAAGGCAATTATGATAACGCTCTATTAATGCTGAACAAATCACTCAAGATTCATCTAACACGATATGGCGACAATCATCTAGGTATAACTAATACATATCAGAACATTGCAAGGGCCTATACTCGTCAAGGCAAGTATGACGACGCTCTGTCAATATGTAACAAATCACTCAAAATTGTACTAACAAAATTTGGTGATAATTGTAATCATCCAAGAATTGCTCTTATATATAGACATATTGGGAAAGTCCATACTGATCAAGGCAAGTATGATGACGCTATATCAATGTTTAGCAAATCTATTAAGATTGACTTAGCAAAACTTGGTGATAATCATCCAACCATTGCTAAGACGTATAGAGAACTTGGGAATGTCTATGTTAAACAAGGCAAGTATGATGACGCTCTGTCAGCACTTTACAAATCACTCAAGATTAAACTATCACAAGTTGGTAAAACTTATCTAGTTAATTCTTTAACATATGAAAAAATTGGACAAGTCTATCATTGTCAAGGCAAATACGATGAAGCTCTATCAATGTTAAACAAATCACTTAAGGTTAATCTAACACGGCTTGCAAACAATCATCCAAATATTGTTAATTTACATAACAATATTGCAAGAGTCTATAATCATCAAGCCAAATATGATGACGCTCTATCAATATTTAACAAATCGCTGAAGTTTACACTAACACGACTTGGCGATAATCATCCAAAAATTGCTGCTATATACAGAGACATTGGACAAGTCTATAATGATCAAGGCAAGTATGATGACGCTCTATCAGTGTTTAACAAATCGCTTAAGATCGTCTTAACAAAAGTTAATGATAATCATCCAAGTGTTGCTAGTACATATGACAATATTGGGCATGTCTATAACAAACGAGGCAAGTATGATGACGCTCTATCGGTGTTTAACAAATCACTCAAGATTAAACTATCACGACTTGGCGACAATCATCCAAGAATTGCTATATCATATAGCAATATTGGACAAGTCTATAGTGATCAAGGAAAGTTTGATGAAGCTCTATCAATGTTTAACAAATCACTCAAGATTACAATAAAACAACTTGGCGACAATCATCCAAGTATTGCTAATACATATAACAAAATTGGACAAGTCTATAATCATCAAGGTAAGTATGATGACGCTCTATCAATACATAATAAGTCACTTAAGATTACACTAACACGACTTGGCGACAACCATCCAAATATTGCTAATACATATTGCGATATTGGACAAGTCTATAATAATCAAGGCAAGTATGATGACGCTCTATCAGTCTATAACAAATCGCTTAAGATTACACTAACAAAACTTGGTGATAATCATCCAAGTATTGCTAACACATATGACAATATTGGGCAAGTCTATAATAATCAAGACAAGTACGATGACGCTCTATCAGTTTATTACAAATCGCTCAAGATTAAACTAACACGACTTGGTGACAATCATCCAAGTATCGCTATTACATATAACAACATCGGAAAAGTCTATAGTGATCAAGGCAAGTTTGATGAAGCTCTGTCAATGTTGAACAAATCACTTAAGATTAGACTAGTACAGCTTGGCGACAATCATCCAAGTATTTCTATTACATATAGCGATATCGGAAAAGTCTATAATCGTCAAGGCAAGTATGATGACGCTCTATCAATGTTCAAAAAGTCATTGCAAGTTTCTTTAGTAACACTAGGAGAGAATCATCCTCAAACTGCCAGATTCTATCGAAACCAAGCTGCAGTCTATTGTAAACAGTCTAATTATCGTCAAGCAATCTCATTCTATCGAAAGTCTATTAATTCTCTACGTAATCTGTACGGAGAGAGTCATCTTCTAATTATCGAGGATAAAAAACAAATTAATCAATGTTACGATCTATTGCAAGGAAATGAGAAGGAAGTTGCTCCGTTACAAATAGACAATGTCGTTCAGCAGCTTTTAGCTCAATATACAGATAATCAAACAGTCATCCACGACCGTTGCCTATCATCACCAGGTGATTTGTGTAGTCTAGCATTGCTCTAGCAGTCTTCCATCTATATAACATATCCTCACTCCTTGTTTTGACTAATAGCAGAAGAAAATCGACATTCAAATCAATTTGGAAAACCAAAAGATAATAACAGACAACAATGCCGTAGTAAGTCTATATACAGCATCGAACTAATTTACTAATTGGATGATATTACATGCTGACATATTGGCTCAATATCGTAAATTCATCCAACTTAAATGAGTGATTATTCCTTTTCAACAATTAATTTCAAAATAATATCACAAGGTAAAGTACGGTATGTGGGAGTAGACTAGTCAATAAAGCCTATACTATATAGCTTAATTTCACGGGCAAGTTGGTAATAAAACTAGAAGGTGATAGTTTTTTAATACTGTTTTTAATTTAGAGAAAAACTGTTGGAATAACTTTGTCAAAATCGGCATCATCTTCAATCAATTTTACTCATGCTAGAGTTGAAATATACATTTAACACAACTTAATCAATCAACAATCAGCCTTGAGTCATCATATTAAACACTTTTCTCAAATAGAACATCATTAACTTCTACAATCTGAATCATTCTACATAAGATATCGCTACTCTTGTATTAATATCCAGCCCCTTTTGTTGTTCAGCATCTATACAGTTGCAGTGTTTCTAGTCATATAAACCTTGTAACATAATTAGTCAACTTGCTACTATCAGTTATCAGCAATTTCTAATATAGTAGTTATCAATCGTCTAATATTAACTTGACAATAATATCTATTGTTAGTAACCTAACTGTATCAAATATAGCTATCCTTATAATCAAATAAGAGGCGTATCACTGCTGGACCTTTCGCTTTTTCTTCATTAATTATTAGATATAGTCATTGCTAACTAACCGCAAGATTGCAATAACTTATTTTATCAATAGCAAGAAATCGAATACACATGAGTTGCTGGAGCATTATCGTCAATATTCAATCATTCACAGGTTATTAAATAAAAGGGAAATTACATGTTAAAAAGTCTACCGTTTAGTCAGTTTAATAAACAACTTTTATTCAAATAATACAAATGCTGAAGTAGAATAATATCGTATAACTTATAATCGCACAGAATCAAATAATGTTCTTGCATCTGCAACAATAGCAATAATTCGTACTTTAAAATGCCATCAATCAAGAAAACAATGACATATGTATCAACAAGGGAAATATATTTTCTATCCTTTTCTATTCTAGATTTGTTCGCCATCATTATTAGATGGGTGATATCAGTACTACAAATCGTCGTCATCGTACATCATCATTGATAAAGAAAATAAATTTATAAATACAAAATCTTACCTGCTGTTTGCTTAACAACGCCTATTATTTTAGACAAAATAAGCAATGAAGTAGCACTGTATCATTAAAACTTTCCTAACCTCAAACAAAATGCCATCATTTTAAATTAAAATCCTCATTTTGAATAGAAATCTTATTATTTCTTTAGTTAAAAAACATCGATCATTCATACTAACATAAGATTTAAAAATTATGAGCTAGTCGAATCGAATAATCTTAAAAAGAAAATATGTAGTTATTTATAATGTATATGCAAAACGAAATATCTGAATTAATGTTATTTTAATAAATGAATATGTGTTAGTGATGTTATGGTAAACCCCGAGAATTAGTTACTCCCGGGATTAACTATAACAATGATACAGTAACGATATAACAGCTCCATCATTATTTCTGATTACCTTTCAAAGTGCCTGAATCGATAAACGTGAATGGATTATGTTCTGAGATAATGTGTAGAAATAAATAACCCAGCATTGCAATTATATTTTACAGTAAAATTTAGCCAACATGACGATGAAAACGTAGATAAATCGATTAACAAGAATATCAGTGAAGAAAATTACAAAGGTTGGTAATAAGTAAAAGATTTGATTACGTAATTATAAATAAAAGAATTGTTGTGGCTGACAACATGACATACGTTATCCATAAATATTTTGCTAGATTTATCTGATATCATTCGTTTTGGCAAACGTAAAGAATCGATTCAATCACAATCGATGCGCGATTACACGTCTCGTAAAAAGAAAATAATAGCAAGTGCAGATGATGAGTGAGAAGATAGGCAGTATAAAGGTTTTACTTATATGTATTCAGTTTTTGTTAACTAAATATGAGGACCCAACATGTAATATTTGCCGTAGATGTTACTGAATCGTTGTCACGGTACGAACTACCGTGAAGAAATAGCTATCTAAATTTGTTTAATATAATATAGTGATAATATATTACATCTAGTTCCTTACAATAGGAATTACTCTAATTATAAATGTGTTACAGTAAATTTAATGCTGTGCTGTAATGTGCACTGAAATGATTCTGTGAATGGACATATTTTAGTCCGACTGTGAAAAATTAATTAGTAGATGTTCTCACTTTATAAGATGACTCATGATTGTTAGCTGCTGTAAAAGGGTATACAAGCCCGTCAGATAGTTGAATAAAGTAATTCTCAATTGTCTAGTTGAGTTTAACGTAGAATCGAAGGCGTCTAAATTCTTGTGAGGTAGCTAAGGGATACTGAATCCCGGAGACTATAGTAATTTAGAGATTTGTTTTACGTTATCCTTGTCACGAAGCTGGTTTGTGACAATCGTGTACAGAAATATAAATATCGTAATCGCTATACAAATATCTTATTGTAGACGAAAACAAATACCTAAATTCATCTACAGTGATAATAAGTGAATTTCGTAAAACATCAGTGGAGAGATACGCGAATCAATAATTTCTAGTTCTCTATTCTCTCTAAGCATTTACTTGCATCTAATTCTCTATTTTGTCGATCTATCCGCTAACTATAAAAGTATATGATCATTGCAAATAATCTTTAGAAAGTACGGGTATTTCAATGTTGTTATAGCTTACGATATTAGTTACGAGTTAGCCAACTAAACTGTATGGGTTATATTTGATTATACTTATGCAGCGAGGCCACTTTCGTATATGCAATGCAGATGCACTTCAATTTTATTCTATTTTGTATTTTACATTCGATTAATATGGCGAAGTCTTTACATTGACAAGTTATCATTTTAAGTCGGTGTCCGGAAAAGAACTTTGCTATAAAATACTTAACTTATTTTCGTCAGGTAGCTGATCGTTATCTATGACTTTATACATGCTTTTAGCAGATGACTGTATAGTCTTATAATATTATCTATAAACCGATAATTAATGCTTAAGGCAGCTTTACGACAAACAGAAGATAACGATGATATTATTTCAGCCATTAACTCTACTAAACTGCGAAAAATATTGTTTCGTTACGACATACTCGTCACTATAATAATAGTCAAATAATAAGTATTTATAGATTAAGAAATTGAATACAAATTATTAATACTATTAGAACGGAACTGCATTTTGTACATGTAGCTGATAGAACGCGTTATTTAACAATTACTTGAAATCAATTTAGCTCCATTTATTTGCACATGAGGAAACAAACGTACTGTAAGTAACTTCAATTTTTCTTGTAGTTTTTGTACTCTGTCTTAAGACGACTATATTGACGAAGTTTATTTAGGTATTTACTAAAGAAGAAATTGTCATTGCTTTAGACGTTCATTCTCTATGCTTAAATCAAGATAAAATCAAGACTTTCATTTTTATTAAATGTTTGTAACAGATTTTTATTTAACGTTGTACCATGAATAATATTTGCTATTGCCTTTGTAGTTATCTTTATAGATGTGTTACAACTTCCAAATTTTGTAACAAGTACTAGATCTGCACTCAGCAAGCAAGCCTTTTTAATTCTTCGAGAGGCATTGCCTCTAATTCTTTCTCTCTAGAAAACATATCATCATCCTGAACTGCTAAAATGGGTGTAGCCATGGCCATAGTGGAAAATGATGGATTAATATAATTGAGTTTCTTCACTTAATTAAATAAATGGATAAACGATGATCCAAGGATAACGACGGGATAAAACGATGATCCAATGATAACGATGGGATAAAACGATGATCCAAAGATAACGATGGGATAAAACGATGATCCAATGATAACGATGGGATAAAACGATGATCCCACCGCTGCCACCAATTGTTACAACTTCCAAATTTTGTAACAAGTACTAGATCTGCACTCAGCAAGGAGACCCAGTAATTAAGTTGAAGAACTAACTTTATTGTTAAAATGAAGAGTTTATATACTTTCTTTATTGTGACCTTTGATCTACTGACGTAGATCACAAGATCATCACTAACAGAAAGGTTTCCCTAGTTTAGTCATTACAAATAGACTATCATGCCAAGTATGGCAACATGAGAATACATATCTAGATAACCTTAATATAGTACCATAACTACATCTATATACGCCTGACGTGATAACATCGTGATATTTAACCATATATAGAAAGGAGGTAACATACTAATTATGTAACTATTACAGAACGTGACAAGATGCTAAACTATAGACTTAAGCAAGATAAAATCCAGGTTTCCAACTAATTGTAATCTATTCTTTCAAGCTCTAATTTGCATAGAAAATCTATAAGATTACTAACGGAGTTTCATCAAGCGTTTTACTCCAATAATTGTTATTGTATTATAGTACTAGTATCGATACCTGCTGCGTTAAACTTTGGTCAATTTTGAAGTAGGGCAATACCCAAAATTAATATTCTGTTCTTGCTAATTCGTTGCATTTTTACAATAGCATCTTATACAGTGAAGGGGGATAAATTGAACAACATAAAATTCCTGTATACAAGTAGCTGTATCAAAATAATACTAAAGATATTCGCTGTTTGTCTATTATAATCGTAAATCAATCATAAGCTTCAACTTGATAGACAAAAAGGGCGTTCTAAGCCAGCATAATTTTTTACAGATTAGGACCGATTCATCAATTTCGCATTGACTACTGTGTACGTTGATATGTTACTCCATATTACTCCATACTACTCCATATTACTCTAGACTAACGCGAGTAGAAGGCCTTTCGCTTTCTTTCGTTGTTTCCAGTAGATCGACCACGGTAACGTTGAACCACGAGCAGGATATTTCCCTTCCGCTTGGAAAACACTAGCGACGTCTTCTGGCTTATAAACAAGTACATTCGATAGAGGTCCAATTTTATCACGAAAGACTGGACCATATTTTTGAAAATTTTAGAGAAATATAAGTGAGTATTCCTTTGATAATATCCTTTATTTTTGAGTGTCGTAAGTAAAGATTCAATTAACGGTAAACTATCGGGTTTAGATATCTCTTGGAAAGATTTAGCCTTATGATAGTCATTATTGTTGTCCTTTGGCGGTTCATGCGTGATTTCGGTTGTTGACTGAAATACAACTTTATTGAGCAAAAGAGGCCGAGAACTATTTAACGGTACCAGTGAAATTTTGGCCAGTCATGTTAACATTTCCATGATGAAAGAATCAATTGAAACAACGATGATACACTGTTACTCTTATAATCAGCCGTACAAAGTTCTACAGTAGAACAATTTTGCTGTTTCGTTTTCTTTCACTGATTCAGATAGTTTTAAACCCGTGTTGTACGTCTTGGCGATGAAAAATAGAAGTAGTGCAATCCTTACCGGCACCGTATTCTAATATACAAGCATGCCGTCCTGTACAAATGAATAGTTAGTTAACTGCGAAACTATACAGTAACTTGTACTAAATATTATTAATTTACTCCATTCTACTGTAATCGCATACAGCACAATGACGAATAGACCAGTCGATAAGAATTTTTACAGTTCATATTCTAAAGTCTGTACCGGGTAATGTATTAGTGTGCGATGAAATTGAATTCGTCGCCATTTCAGAGCATTGCGTAAACGTCTTAATAGGATACTTTACTAGAAACTCCAACTGGCGTTGAATGCGGTAGTTCGGTACCGTAGAGCAGCATGTAAACTATGTTGTAATAAAACGACAATTATGAATACACCAACTATCAACTACCAAATCCTAGACAAGAACCAACAGTATTTATAATTTAAAAACGCTACATATACAGAGAGTAAGATTATAGAATTTCAACTGCAAAATAGTCTGGATCAATAAAAATATTGTAAATAAATCTTGTCTATAAGTTTAACGATTAAAGCTAGCTTTCTGGCTCTTTGGATTGAACTATTCAAATCTTATGAATAAGATACATTACAGCTTACTTACTAACGAACAGAAGCAAAAGAAGTATTTACAAAATCCTGAGATTCTCAAATTTGTACGTGACTGCCTTAAGGCTGATTCCGTTCTTAGGAATGAATGGCGTACCGGTATATATCTGGGTATATGGAGGGAGCACGAGATAAACGGATTAGACTCAGTATAAAGTTAAATTCCATAGCATACTTATTATGTTTACTGTGCCAAAAATAACTAGAAAGAATATATCTTACTATACTATAGTATTTTGTATTGTTAGTAATTAAAAAAGTCAGCAAGTTTTCTAGCGAATTCATTGCTTTATCCGCCCAATTTAAGGGCTAGTTCTACGTATTTCTTCATCGCGTAATACTTGCATAATATTCTAATTGATTGGTTGATATGCGGACATATTGTTGTAAAGGGCGTATACAGTTTATAAAGTACGTGAATGATATTGTGATAGGTTCAGGCTTCAACTTTGCAACTTAACAGTTTATTTTACTTCCTTTCATAAACGTCGTAATCATCAGCATTTCGATACCAGACAGTCTATAATCGCTGATCGATACTATCTAATAAATATTGTAAACAACCTTAAGTTAACTTGCCGTGCTATGAAAAGATATATGACGCTTTTATTTTTATCATCAAGTCTTAAAGTAGTTTCCCTATGTAATGAAATGAAAAGTGTAGAGATCAAGCTACGAAACTTTAACAAACTTTGATTCTACTTTCGTTGCACTCCGGTCGACTTAACGCTAATACTTTGACACCAAATTAAATTTGGGGAAATAACCGAACAACAATTTATTTCAAAACAAAAATGAAGAGAAGTATAAACCGAACAACCTTACAAATACTTAGCTTTAAGTATTATTAAAATAAATGACAGACTTAAAAACTGTCAACGACCAAACAACCTTTCAAAAAGAAGAACGTTTTAACTTACGACAATTCGACCCCGAAGGCCTTTTAAATTCAACAAGTTCTTCAAATAAAATCTTCTCCTACTCTCCCTCTAAATTTTCTAATTGCACTATCATTTATAGGCTTCGTAGAG